AAACAAGGCTGCTTGTCTGCCACCCGTCCCTGCTCTTCCCAGCTGGCTCCTGGGGATAATTTTTTGCCTTTCCCCTTTCTTTCTCCCTTTTTTTTTTAAATTTTCCTCCTCAAGTAGCTTTCAACATCAGAGCTGATGTTTGCACTATGGACTCCGTTAATTTTTATTAGTGTGCAAGACTTCCTCAGTATCCTTTGTGCAAAGCACATGAAGTTAGGCATGGAAAATACCACCACCCCCCCACCACCACCCTGGTAACTACTATGAGAGAGGCAAACTGTGAGGCAGCTTGCCTCCAGCTGTCTGTCTTCAAGCCATCATTGCTTCTCATGAACCACTGCCAAGAGCGCCTGGAGGGAAAACATTTCTGTAACAACTCTTGCAGCCACCCTCAGCCTTAGGCCTAAGTTTGAACCATGCTGGTCAGGGTTGATGTCCCCTGCAATTGTATCTCTGTCTTTCTTCTCCCACCTAGAGGTTCATTCAAGTTCATCCTAAAAGAGGAATTAGGAACAATTAAGTGCCTTAAGTGAATAGGAGAGTTCCAGCAGGACATGTCACAATCCACAACTGCACAGTGTAAATCAAGACCTACACATGAAAAGAGTGACCTCACATCAGTGGAAAGCCAGTGTAAGTGGTGACATTCATGCCCAGGGGAGATGCACACCTGGCACTCAGCTTGGTCCTGTGCCCAAGCCCTGCACCTGAGGCAGAGCGGGATTGCCTGTGCAAAGCCCTTTTTGACAGAGCAAGTAAGTTAAGCCTTAAAACTCCTCTAACTTGCTTTATCTAAACTGGCTCCTTGACATTCCTGTCTGGGAAGGAGGATGGGAGAGGGATATGATATTGTTTCTGCTTCACACCTCTGTGACTATCAGACACTGTCACCTTTAGGGACATCTGAACAGGGCTCTTAGGATTTGCTCTTAGTGTATCCATTGAATACACCTAACTGTAACACATTTGATTGGACATTTGCATGTACACTTTAATTCTGAACATCTCAGTGCACTGTTTTTGGCAGCTACTGACCCCCTAGTTTAGCATCGCATCCCCTGGAGTTGCGCAGTCCCCCTTACCCTGACACTGGAGGCTGGAGATAGGAGTATTTGCCTGGTGCCTGCTAAGGAGTAGCCAAATCCAGCAGACTTTGATACCCAGGAGGTTTCTCCCATCTTAGTCTGACAGAGGCAGCTGCTGCTGGTCCCATTTGCAGTTCCAACTGTTCCATCTTATAACTGATATCATTCCCAAAGTGCTGTTGTTGTTGCAAGATTGCACTCCCCAAACATCCCTAACGCTCTCCTCAAATTATCTGTGAAGCTTGGCTGTCTCTCATATAACTACCCCTTAAGCAACTGTGAAATCTAGCCATTCCTCATGGTGTTCAGCTGGCTGCAACCAAATGTGCTGCTGTGCAGCACAGCTGGATCATTCTGCTGAGCTTTACTGAAGCAGCTGTCATGAGCCATTGGAAAGCCCTAGAGCTAAAGCTATCTCCTGCGTGCATTAACATGTGCACAACCGCTGTGAGCTCACCAAGGCTGTTCATCTGGCTTGTGCAGCATCTGCACGCGGCAGGAGCTGCCCAAACAAGAGCGGCCAGGCAGAACAAGTAGAAGGAGACCGTGCTGTCCTTGGGCAGCCTCTAGGGCTGAGTGTGCTGGTGGGCTGAGGAACAGGCAGCTTTGCAGCCAAAGGGCCAAAGAGAGAAGTGTGGCCAGCCCTGCTGCTCCCCGGGGACAGTTCTGCTGGACAGGCACAGTACCAGCCCTCTTCACTCTGAATGGTTTCACCATCAGCATTGCACCTTGTCTCCTTTTGGCCCCAGCTGCAAGCAATTCCTGGGCATGTTCTGCAATTGGGCAGCGGAGACACCATTCCCAATGGGCAGCCTGGATGTGTCCCACCTGACCTGGGGGCTGGAAAAGTTCAGCTGGCTTCCAGGGGAGATGGTTTCATTTCCTAATACAGTTATAGTTGCAGTGGTGATGGGGATGATTTCCAATCCTAATCTAAGAGACAGCAGAGTACAGACTAAATACTGGCCTCTTGCTCCAGCCTTCAGTCCTACAATGCCCCGCAGCAAGTTGGGAGCAGAGAGCCAGGCAGGTGCACGGGGCCACGTTTCAGCTCCAGCAATCTGCCGCTTACGTGTTGAGCCGGGAGTCTCGTGCTGGGGTAGGATTTCACTGCTGTAACTCTAGATGTCTAAACCCCTAGAAGGCATCCAGGAGCTCTCTGTACTCAGGGGAAGAGACAGTCACTTCACAAGGGATCCTGCAACAAGCAGCTGAATTATTCCGGAGTGGCCTGTGTTTTCATTTGAAGCAGAGCCCAGGATGACAGAAGTTTTCCTGAGCAAGAATTTCTCATATGGCTTACAGTGCAGCCTCTCTGACACAGCACCTGTGAGCTTGCAATGGTGTTTTCTTTAAATGCATTAATGCATTACATAATTCATATTAGCAACAAACAGTTCATAAAAGTATTTTGTAGCACAAATACTGATCTACTGAAGTGACCTTCTAGTTGTCCATGTGAATGTAAGCCCAAAGAAAAATGATCTTCATGAAGAAATGACCTGCTGTGCTTAACCCCCAGCAAGCTGTTTCTCCAGCCTTGGCAAGTTTTCTGAGGGGCATGGGACCCACCACCCCTGGAGATGGGGTGCAAAGCCAGCCATCTCAGCATAACAGCCTCTGGGTCCAGAGTCCTTGGGCTCCTGCACTGTTATTTATCAGCACTTACTTGAGGCAGCTAAAGATAAAAAATGCCCACGTACATTTCAGACACTGAAGTTAGGCGTTCAAAATGCCTCCTGACTGCCAGAGACCTCATTCACAGTCCGGCCCCCCTACCTGTCCCCTTCCTTCCTCCCTCCTCTCCGGGATGGTTTCCCAGGCTTGCAATCTCTTTTGGTCCCTATTCAGCAATCCCTCCCACTACCCGAGCCGTGGACTGCGCGGTGTGAGGGGGCCTGAAGCCCTTCCTGGAATTACTCTTTGCTCCGCCTGCCCTGAGGAGAAGAGATGCAGAAAAGCACAGGTGCAGGGGGTTGTGAAGACTTGCAATATGACGAGAAGATGGCAATATCCTTTTAATATCTTGCTCTGCAAGCTTTATACCTAGACAGGATTTAGGGCTAGAACAGCAGCTTCACATGAAAGCACAGATGGAATGCAGTTACAAAAAGACAAAACTGCAGAGAACTTGATTAAGCTTCAGCATCTTGGCTAATTTCCACCTCTCCTGCTTTGCGCCGATATTTTTCTCTCTGAATAAGAGATGGATCAGGCCTGCCTATGGCAGAGGGCAGCATCTCCCTGCCTTTTTGGGACCCCCAGACAAAGGCGAGTACATGCTCCCCAGCACAGCACTTGTGAGTACGGTGGGGGCACCTGCTGAAGCCTCAGGAGCCCAGAGGTGCAAACTGCTTGGAGAAGTGCAGGAGAGCCCAAAGAGGTGCACCTCAGAACACAGGCAGAATTGTGCCTGCACACTGCATTATGTCAAGGTTAGGTGCCAATTCTTGCCTTTGCTGGGATGGGGCAGTTTGCAGGGTGAAAATGTCCCTTCCCAAACCCCATAGGTCTCAGTGCCTGGACAGCATCTGTCACATGCCCCTTTTGCCCAAGATAGATAATAACTCTGACTTTGCTGTTTACCATTTCCAAGCACTTGCAAGACAGTGGGATCCCAGACTTGGATGCAAGCAACCTTGACATGAAAGCCAGCAAGGAGCTTGAGGTCAGCTGGTCCTGTTGCCCTCCCAAAAGGCCCAGTATGTTTTGGCATAAGTTTGTCCAACCTCCAGATTTGGAGCTTGCCCCAGAAACTCCATCTTAGTGCAAACTGCCCAGTTAGTTTCACCACTTAAGCACATGATTTCTGTCCTGCTTGAGATACCGGAGATGGAGAATGTTTGCAGTCTTTGCAGCCTCTGATGTCTATTTTAATGTTTCTCCTCTGTCTCCTCCACACCCAGAACCAATCTGCTCTTGCTATCTCTTTTCATTCTTTTACATAATTGACCCACATCCCAGCCAATGTGCGCTCTGGAAGGTGGTTTTTTTTTTTTTTTTTTTTGAAAAATACAGTCACAGCGGAGATTGGAGATGACACGTACTATGAAGTATTTTATTTTTGGTCTGGTGTAGAACCACCTCCAGCTGGTCCTTCCACACTTATAATTGTGCCAGTTATCCTGCCCACTGCAGGTCCTTGCACTGCCCAGGAAGAACTCAATCCCAAGTTTACCCATTTTGCTCTTCAAAATGGAAGAACCACTAGAGAACCACCAAGCCTATATGCCTTGAGGGTTTGCACTTGTTTCCCTGCTCATTAACCCCAAGCAGGTTGTTTAACATCTTTCTTAGTTACAGCAGCCAGTATAATGATAAAAACCTCCTTGCATGAAAGATGTAGGAAGGCAGTTCATGTTGGACAAAATTCTAAATACCTTTGTGAGTTAGTGAGCAGTTTTACCATCTACATTACCAAGCTCTTAGATCAACCTTAATGTATTCTGTTTCTAACCGATTGCTTTCCTCTTAACAGTCCACTGTCCTGCTGCTTGTTTTTGCCTTGGGGTTCTCTTGTCAATCTTTTGCGTTTTAGAGCCTTCACCTACACTTGTTGCTTAAGTGGAGTTTTGTCTCTGGTTATCACCATCATTCATTTTCTCCCAGCCCCAGGGAGGCAGGGAGATGCTGGTTAGTGGCACAGGGCCAGAGCGTTAGCAGGGGTTGTGGGAACCCCATTCTCTCCACTCTGGCTGCTGTTGCCCTGCTCCCTCCTGCTGGCAGTCTCCTGTCCTCCCAGCTTGTCCCCAGATCCTCCCTGGGCAGTGGGCTGGCCTGGCCCCCTGGCAGATCTGGTGCTCCCCTCTAAGCTGCTGGCTGAGGCACAGCCCTGGGCAAGGGGGGACTGGGAACTGCTTAGTGCTGGTTCCTGTCTGTCATGGTTCACAGGCTGAGGCCTGGTGCTCTCCAGACCCTGGTTCTGGGCCATCACCCATGGCAGGGACAAGTATTTCTGCACCTCAATGGCTGGGCTCCGGCGGTCAGGGTCCAGCGTGAGCAGGCGCCGGAACATCTCCTGTGCCCCAGAGCTGAAGGTCTGCCAGGATTCTGGCACCCCCCACTCCACTGCACTGCCCTGCCAGGTGCTGAAGTCCTCGAATTGGGGATCGGAGCTGACAGCCACAGCCCAGGGGAAGCAGCCCGTACAGAGGCAGAAGAGCAGCACGGCAAAAGCCCACACATCCAGGCTGGAGTCCAGTTCCAGTGTGTCGGAGCCCTGGAGCAGGCAGAGCTCCGGTGCAGCGTAGGGAAGCATGATGGACATGGCGCAGACCGCTGAGCCCTGCAGGCGTGTGAGGCCAAAGTCACCCAGCTTCACCCGCCGGCACTCACTATCGAAGAGCAGCACGTTGTCCAGCTTCACGTCCCGGTGCACCAGGGCCCGGCTATGCATGAAATCCAGCGCCTCGGCCACCTGGGATGCGCAGCGCTTCACCAGCACCTCCGGAAGGCCCTCCTGCGTGGAAGAGTGGCACTGTCACCTGCAGCATGGCCTGAACCCAGGGCAGCCTGCTGCAGAGCAACCCTGCTGTCCACACTGCCTCCAGAACCTCCTGCCCACTGTGCCAATAGCCTGCCCTGGGTGCTGGTGTCACCACACCCAACAGAACCATCCCACACTGGCATTGCACCCAACACTGCCTGGCATCTCCTACACATGCTTTGTCCGTCAGTTGCCCAAGGCCACATCTCTGCACTGCAAGGATTCTCCCCACACATTTTGTGAGTGTGCACCCTACTGCAAAGGATATCCCCACACACAGAGTGAGTGTGCACCCTGCTGCAAAAGGTGTCCCCACAAAGTGTCACTCTACCCATTGCAAAGTTTCACCACATACAGAGGCATGCACATAAAGACATGTGCTCACTGTGAGTGTACCCAGCTGCAAGGATTTCTCTCCTCAGACAGTGTCACTGCCCCCGCTCTGCAAAGCTGTCCCTGCACCTTCTTCCCCATACCCTGCTGCATATCCCCACACCTCATGGCTCCTACCCCTCTTCTGAGCCCTCAACTGGCCCTCTGTGTCCTAGGCCCACAGTAGAGCCCCACAGTGGCACATACCCCTGGGTTGAGGAGGGCACACAGGTCCCCAGCAGGAGCAAGTTCCTGACCAAAGATAAAGTGTGTGGCACTCTCAAAGGCGATGGGCAGGGCACGGATGCAAGTGCTGTGGCTGGAGAGGCACAAAGAGTGAGGACCACTGGTGAGCCTGAGAAAAGGGGTGGGGGGGAGTCAGCCCTGGCTGGGGCAGGAAGAGGGGGAGATAGGGCAGAGTTGGGGTTGGGTCAGCATGGGATGCACTGGGCACAGATGAGGCAGGATCTGTCCCAGACAGGGTCTAGCATCGAAGAGGTTGGGCAGAGATGGGGATGGATGAGCTGGAAGGGCAGGCTGGGCACAGACAGTGTTGGGCAGAGATGGGGCTTGGCACCTGCAAGGCTGGCACAGTGGTGAGTACAAACACGGACAGGGCTGGGCATGGACACAGCTGCACACATGTGCACGGCTGGAGCAGGTCCCCCAGCAGCAGGCTCTCCCTGCCCCCCTAGAGCCCCTCACCACCATCCCGGGGCTCTGTGAGCACCACGCGGCCATAGGTCCCGCTGCCCAGCTCCTCCAGCACGGCATACTGCTCCTCCAGCTCCTGCAGTGGCAGCTCCTGTCCTGTCCGCACCATCAGCCGCTCCAGGAAATTCCCCTTCCGCTTCCGGTGTCTCCATGTGCCCTGTGTCCACCCAAGCATCCCATCAGATTCTTGGCTGCCCCTCGGGGCCACCTCCATGATCTTGGCTGCACTCAGCCCCAAGTGGGTCTCAGCTGCCTGAAGAGGCCAGGCTAGCCCTGGGTAGCTGCCTGCCCCACTCCCAGGCTGCAGGACAACCTTGAAGGGTGACAGCAATCCCTGCCATGGCTATCCCAGCCCAGGACAGCCTAGCCCAGGACAGTCCATTCTAGTGAAGCCCAGAGCAGCCCAGTTCAATCCAGCCCTGTCCCACCCGGTCTAGCCTTGTCCAATCCAGCCCAGTCCAACCCAGTTCAGCCCAGTTCAGCCCAGCCCAGCCCAGCCCAGCCCAATCCAGTGCAGTCCAGGCCAGTCCAGCCCAGTCTAGTGAAGCCCAGGCCAGCCTGTCCAAACCAGCCCAGTCCAACCCAGTCTAGCCCAGTCCAGCCTAGCCCAACCCAATCCAGCCTAGCTCAGTCCAGACAGCCTAGTGCAGCCCCGTCTAATCCAACCCAGTCAAGCCCAGTCAAGCCCAGTCCCTCCCACTGCATCCCAATACTCAGGGGTCACGGCTGGCTCTGTCCCGCCATGTATTACCCCCATGGCAAGGGCTGGGGCTGGATCTGTCCCACCCCACATCCCTCATGGCAAGGGTTGGGGCTGGATCTGTCCCACCCCACATCCCTCATGGCAGGGGTTGGGGCTGTCTCTGTCCCACCCCACATAGCCCCCATGGCAGTGGTCGGGAGTCGCTCTGTCCCACCCCACATGGGTTCAGAGCTGGCTCTGCCTTTTGCCATATTCCAGCTCTTTGCTTCTCCATCCCCAGCTGCAAAACAGGACACAGGACCCTGCTGCCATCCTACCAGTGCTGCCAGCTGCAGCCACCTGCACCAGCACAGCCGCAGCAGCGTCACCACCAACACCAGCTTCTCTGGGCGCATGCAGCCCGGACCACCAGTGCCTACTGGGCCCATGGGACATCCTGGAGCACGGGGACTATGGCTGAGCAGAGAGGGCCCTGCCATGCCCAAAAGCTGCAAGCAAAAGGCTGAGGACCAGTACGTGTCCATCCAGTGTGCCCAGATAGATAGGACAGAGGGTCAGGAAGGCATTGCAGCAGGGATACAGGGGTGCGCGGGGACAGCCAAGCAGCCAGGCAGTTGGGAGAGCTGCGTGCCTCACCTGTGTCCCTGCGCTGGGCCTTGCGCCGTGCCCCGGTGCCGCCAGCACAGCCAGGTGTGCACAGGGCACGGCTCCGTGTCCCTGGCCCCCGCAGCCTCCCTGGGCGCTGGGAGCTGTGACTCAGACTTTCCTGCGCTCTCCGTGGCCTCCGTCCCCAGGGCAGTGCCGGCCCGCGCTAATCTCTCCTGCTTGCTCGCAGGGAACATGTGTCAGGCGCAATTCGTGCCGACTTCCAAACATAGGCAGGAGGCAGGCGCTGGACAGTCCCCGACATTGCCCGGACTGCGCTGGGCAGCCAGGGGGATGCACGGGCCACCCCGCCAGCCCCCGTCTTGGCAGGGGCAGTCAGCACGGCCAGATGGACGCATAGCACAGAGCATGGCCTAGGAGCCTGGCGTTGGTGCGCGAAAGGGCATGGAGGGACAGACAGCACGCAGTGCTGTGCCAGGACAGACAGACAGCGTGGCGCATGGCATGGGGGGCCAGACAGAGCACTATGTGTGGGGATAGACAGACAGGCTGGAGCACGGCATGGGGCACAGGCAGACCGTGTCATGTGAAGACAGATAACATGGGGCATGGCATGGGGAAACAGCATTGCACATGGGGCAGATGGACAGACAGCACTGTGAGCAAGAATGGACAGACATACAGCATGGAGCAGGTCATAGGGGGACAGACAGAGCACGGTGCATGGGCTGATGGATGGACAGCCCAGGGCCCTGCAGGCAGAGGCAGATGATGTGAAGAGCAAAGCTGTGTGAGGTGGATGGATGGCTGAATGGTTGGAAGGACTGACAGTCTGGAGCACAGCTTGTGCAGACAGGCAGACGAAGCGTGGTGCATGGGATGGACAGCCAACCTGCAGTGCTGTTTGGATGGGCAGTTGGACAGACAGACAGCGCAGACCATGCCTGGCAGGGATGGCCAGATGTATGGCAGAGTGCTGTGCACCGAGCATGTGGGGCAAATGGACAGATGGGCAGCCCTTAGCGCTGCCAGGGCCAGGCACCCTGGAGCCTCACTCCCCGCACAGGGCTGTGTGGTGCAATGAGCCTGTTGGTCTCAGCACTGCTCAGCCCGTGGCTTGCTCGGCTCTGCCACCTGCAGCCCCCCTGCCCCATGGCCACCCCTTCTTGCCCCACTGCCCCTTGCGTGAGAGGCTGCCGTCGGTGCTTCTGCGGGGCCGTGCCCACACCTGGCACGGTGCCCCACTGCCCGCATGGCCTGCGCCATCCCCGGCTGCAGCACTCGGCTTTTAAATATAGGCTCAGCATTTGGTGCCCTGGAGCTGCAGCTGTTTTGCAGCTTATTTCCGCTCATGGTGTGGCCACAGCGTGTGGTCGGACACTGTTGGGCCACGCACTGTTCTCCTCCTTGGGTAGCCCTGGGTGGCTCCTTGCAAGCCCTGTTGGGCCCCTGGGACCCTGCTCAGAATGGGCAGGGGTACCATGGACAACCAGTATGGCACAGCAGGGCTGGAGTGCACCTGTGTGTGCACACACCAAACCCCAAAGAGTCCACAGCAGCACACACAGCCAGCCAAGCTCAGAGATGCATGCACATTTGACCCCTAAACATGCCCTGCCATGCACACAGCCCCTACAGAGTGTGCACACATGTGTGCACCTGCAGTGGTGGTGGTGGCGGGGGGGCCGCACACACAGCACCACCCAGCTATCACGCGGCCTGAGCTGTTGCTGCAATGCTTTTGAGGCATTGCTGCAACGCACAGCCTGGCTGCGTTGCAGCATGAATGCCTGGCAGTGCCACGACACAGTCCAGCCTCAACACATAGCCCTGGCAATGCCACAACATACAGCCCTGGCAATGTCACAACACGCAGCCCAGCCTCAACCATCATATCCCAAATGCTACAGACATCAACAGCCACAACCACAGCCACAACCCACAGCCTCAGCAATGCCACAACCACAAGACACTCCCCAGGGCAGGCCCGGTTGCAATTGCACCCCACTGGTCTCCCATTGCAACAGCCCCACAGTGACCACCACAACCCACAGACTGGCAATACCACGACCTCATAGCCCAAAGCGTGAAGAGCACTACAGCCTGACCAGGGCTGCAAAGTGGGGACTGTGAGGCTGCAGCAGTATATCACCATCCCTCTGCGTGCCTCAGTTTCCCCTCTCCAAGCGTGATCTGTGAGGAAAGCCAGAAGGTGGGGACAATGATTTGGAGTCCCACCACACAGCATTTCATGACACTTCCCCTCGAGTTTCACCTGATATCCCATCACCGTGTAGACATAGGGCTGGGTCCCATGAGGGTGTGGGGCTGGGGCAGGGGCTGGGACCAAGCAGGGGCCCCTGATCCCCTGCAGCTGTAGGGCTGGACGGTCTGGGAGACAGACATGAGAGGGTCAGGTCTGTCACTTGCCTGTAGCGATACCAGGATCATGGCGTCCCAGCCCCATGCCATGCACAAGGGGACATCACTGAATGCCCCAAGAGAGTGGCTGTCTGTCCCCATGCCGTCCCCTCTCTGCCAGTGTCTCAGGCACCCCCAGCCCCACCTGCCCAGCCACGCGAGCCCCTGTGCTTTGCAAGCCCCTGGTCTGACTCACATCTGGGCCTCTCCGCGGGGAGATTTCCTGGGGTCTATTTTGGGAAGAGGCTGGCAAAGCCCTCCTGGCAGCACACACATGCGTTGTCCTGCCAAGGAAGCAGTCCCACTTTGAAATGTGTTAGCTGGAGGTGGTGGGGCATATGCTGTGCCTAGCTGCTGCTGGGTCCCGCTAGGGGAGGATGCAGTGATGGTGTGGATGCGGTGAGGGGTGGTCATCTCCCCAAGCACTGGGCTGGAGGAGGCTGGAGCAGAGCGTGTGGCGAGTCAGGTCATCCTGCTCTTCTCTCTCCTTGCACCCTAGCGCTGTGCTGGCCCCTTGCCCCCCAGTTCCCAGGCCACATCCCTCCCTCTCCCCCAGTTCCCAGGCCATACCCCTTTCCTTTTCCCAGCTCCTGGGACCGTACTTTCCTTCTTCCCCCAGTTCCCAGGTTAGATACCTCCCTCTCACTGAGCTCCTGAGGCTGTGCCCACTGGTTCCCCCCAGTTTCCCTGACCATGTCTCTCCCTCTCCCCCAGTGCCACCTCTGTGGTTGCTGTTGCTCTCTCCCCAGCTGCTCTTTCGCCCCATCCCAGCTGCTTAAAGCTGCCCTGACCCCAGCCTGCTGGAAGGTAAATAATACTTGACAGCACATTAGCGGGACCTGCTTGGCCTGCAGCCGGCTGGGAAAGGTCACGCAGCCATGTCCTAAAGACTTCCTCATGCTGCCCTTCTCAGGCTGTTTACTTGGGAGTGAAGATTGATAGCGGAGGAACACAAGGCCAGGGAAACATTCCCCAGATCCCTCCCGGGGCAGACAACATGCCCTGCTCTAACCACTGCACCCTCCTGCCCTTCCAGGGCTTGGGACTGTCCTAGGGGTCCAGCCGCCAGCACGCCCCCAGCCTTGCCGTCTCCAGCTCAGAGGGCACGTCTCCGGCCCCGGTGGCATGTGGAGGATGTAGGCGTCTGTCCCCTGGGAAAGGGCAGTGGCCTTTGCTGGCCAGCTTCCCCAGAGCGTGGGAGGGAGCGTGGTGGCAGAGCTGCGGGGGTGGCCGGGGGTGGAGGTACAAACAGGTGCGGGGGCACTGGAAATAGCCTGCTGGCAGCTGGGCCAGGTGACGTATGTGCTGCTGAGTTCAGCTGCTGCTCCCTGGGCTGCGGGAAAAAAGCTAGCACAGCCCTGTCCTGCCCCCACTGGGACCCCTCCCCACTGCAGAGGGGCCAGGGCTGTGCTGCTGCACACTGTCCACCTGCTGCACCCTCCTTACTGCCCCCAGCCTCATCCTCATCCCTTTTGTCATCATGTATGGGATGTGTCCCCTGAACCCCACTTCCTCTGCCCCCCTGGCCTCCAGGACCCTGTGCTCTTCCCCTCTGCAGCCCTGGTCCCTCCTCTACACCCATGGCCACCAGTGTCCTGTACACTTCTCCCTCCCAACCCTAGTCGTGATGCCTTCTGCACCCGTGGCCACCAGTGCCCCATGCTTTGCCCCTTTACAGCTCTGCTCCCCCCTGCACCTATTTCCCCCTGCACCCACTTCCTCTGCAGCCATGGACCCCCCTGTCCCATGTCCTTCCCCTCCACAGCCCTAGTCCCTCCTGCACCCATTCGCTTTGCTCTCACATGCTCTACACCCATGGCCCCAGTGCCCTGTACACTTTTCCCTCCCACCCCTGATCCTGATCCCTCATTCACCCATGCCCTCTATACCCATGGCCCCCACTGTCCCGTGCCCTGCCCCTCTGCAGTCCTGGCCCCCCAGCCCCTGTAGCCCCCAGTGTCCCACAAGCCACTGCCCTATTCCCCTAGTCTACCCTCCCCCCATGGCCTGCAGTGCCCTCCACAGTGCCCTACTGCCCTGCTGCCCCACTTTCCCCCTGTGGCCCTGTCTTGTGCCCCATGCCTGCCCTCGGTCAAAGCCTGGCCCCTGCCCATGCCCCAGGGTCAGGGAGCTGGAGGGCAGAGCTGCTGGCCAAGGCCCCCACTGGCCCCATCCCCCAGGACCTGGGTACTGGGTACTCGGGAGCTGGAGACAGGTGGCAGCCTGAAGGCCTGGCAAGAATTAGTGCTAACGAGCTGTTTCATAATGGGGTCAGGGAGCAGGATGGAGGAGGAGCTGGGGTGGGTGCCAGGCCCTGGCTCAGCTCTGCACCAGGCCTCCCTGGGCACCTGCTCCTGCACCCCCAGCTTGCCTGTGCTAAACCCACTGCCAGCCTCTGCGCAGCACCGCTCAGCTTTGGGACCCAGCATGGCTCAGCACAGCCCTGGGCATGGCACAGCACACACAGCCCTGGGCATGGCACTGATCTTGCACGTGACATCCCAGGACATGGCACAGCCCTGGGCATGGCATGGCCCTGCTTCAGCACAGCCCTGGGGTGGCATGGCACCAGCATAGCATAGTCCTGGACAAGGCACAGCACACCCCCTGCATGGCACAGACCGAGACATGGCATAGTCCTGGCACAGGCTGTTATGACACCAGCACAGCACAGTCCTGGGAATGGCAAGGCTTGGAGCATGGCATGGCCCTGGGCAAGGCATCATCCTAGCACGGCACAGCCCTGCCAGCACAGACATGCAAACAGGCATGGCACAGGACCCTGCACAGCACAAACCCTGCACAGCCTAGCCCAGGACGCGGCACTGCCCTGTGCATGGCATGGCCCGGTCACAGCTCAGCCATGGGTTGGAACAGCCCTGGGCATGGCATGGACCTCCTCTGGCACAGCCCTGGGGTAGCACAGCACCAGCATGGCATAGTCCTGGACAAGGCAAGGTCTGGAGCATACCACAGCCCCTGCATGGCAGAGTCTGAGATACGGCACAGCCCTGGGACATCATGGCACCAGCATAGCACAGTCCTGGGAATGGCAAGGTTTGGAGCATGGCACAGACCTGGGCACAGCAGAGCCCCTGCATGCAACAGCCCTGAGCATGGCATGGCGTGGACCCTGTTTGGCACAGATCTAGGCATGGCACGGACCCTGCACAGCTCAGCCCAGGACATTGCACTACCCTGGGCATGGCATAGCCCTGGACGTAGTGCGGGTGTTGCATGGCACAGCCCTGAGCATGGTATAGCTGAAGACATGGTACAGTCCTGGGCATGGCACAGCCTCTGCACAGCACAGCCCTGGGCACGGCTCAGCCCCAGCACTGCCCAGGCCCCTGAAGTGCAGCACAACCCCATGGCCATGGCGCAGTGTTCCCACTGAAAGCGCCCCCCCCCCCCCCGCCCTATGGGGCTGGATGCCCAGATCCCCCAGGCACAGGAGCCGTGCATACCGATGTCGAGTTTTCCATGTTTAATGATTTAGCAGGGGCAGAGAGCGGAGGTCAGGGGTGTATCCAGCAGGCACCTCAGTGCAGAAGTTACAAGGCACCCCTGCTCCCTTTGCAGGCCACTTCTGGGGGAAGCCCACCATATGCAGAGTCCTTCCTGGAGCCAGGGACTGGGGGCTGCCCCGGAGAGGTTGCAGATGGGATGCTCTGGTGGGGGATGTGGTGGCTGCTGGGAGCAGGGTGGGTCTGAGGGTGGAGGTGTGGTGCTCAGGCATCCTGCAAGGAGGAGAGGATGAATGTGGCTTGATCCAGGTATCTTGGTTCCACATCTGCTCTGGGGATGGGGCACGCACCTGGCAGACCACACTGACATCCTCGGTGTGGGTGCAGTCGTGATACCCCCAGATGCGGTGGGCGCAGTCCCGCAGGCTCCCCTCGTGACCTCTGCAGCGGACATCGTCCAGCCAGATCTGCCCCTTGCTCGGGACGAAACGGGGCCAGTCCACAGGCCGCCGGAGCACGGGCCGCGCCACACCACAGCCCAGCTCCCGGCACACCACGTCAGAGTTGACCGTGGTCCAGCCGTCGTCACACACGGTGCCCCAGCTCCTGTTATGCCAGACCTCCAGGCGCCCCGAGCACTGCCCGGGGCCAGGCTTGAAGGGCTCTGTGTGGATAGGGAGGGGCAAGCCAAGATGCTGGTTGGACCTGCTTGAAAAGACCCTCCCACATGGCCCCATGCACGCTCACCATGGCATTCAACACCTGCAAGCTGATCTGCCGGGCAGGATTGCTGATGCCCCGGCTGGAGGACGCACTGTGCCAGAGCTGTCTCCTGCCCCGTGCACTCCACACGGCTCAGTGTTACTGGGATCTGGCTGGGCGTGAAGGAGCTGCATTGCACAGGGACGTGCCGTGGCCGCCTGCAACCCAGCTGCCGGCACAGCACACGGGCTGCCATTGGGTCCCAGCCGTGGCTGCACACGGGGCCGCCATGGTAGACCTCTACGTGCCCACTGCAGCGTGAGTGGCGGCCTGACAGCCGGACGGACGCCTCTGCATGGAGAAGAGACACAGGGACCTGGCCTGGTTCAAGTGTCCAAGCCACAGGCCCAATGCATTCAGGCTTTGGCACATATCCCTGCCAGTTGGGAGACCCTGGCCTCCTCCATCTGCTCAGCTCAGCCCCACTCTACCCAACACAGCCCCAGTCTGCCCAGTCTCCCCAGCTCGGCCCCAGCCTGCCCAGCTCAGCCCCAGTCTACCCAGCTCAGCCCCAGCCTGCCCAGCTCAGCCCCAGCCTGCAGTTGCCTGTGTCCCAGTGCCTGCCACATCCTGCAGCCAGTGACTCTAGGGACACCCAAGGGGCACCCTGGGGACACCCGTGGGCACTCAGGGGACACCCTACATACCAGATCCGTCGACAGCACTGCAGCACAGAGCTGGAGGGAGAGAGGGAAGAGCTGGGAGTGGGACTGAGACAGCAGCACCTCATCCTACTGACACCCTACCGCACACCCAACACCCCACCACAAACCCCATTGCAACCCAACACACCCCACAAACACCCCAACACACACACAGCTACCTCTCCTCCACCTACCCACAGGCCTCTCTGTGCACACCCACAGCCCGCACTTGTCAGTGATAGCCCCATGCATAAACTCCCCTGTGTGGCATTGACAACCCCATACACATGCGTACACACACACACATGCACGCACGCACATGCATGCATATGCACATACACACACACATGCACACATGCATATGCATGCATGCGCGCACGCGCCCACACACACACACACGCGCGCACATTCAGCTCTATAACCCCAATTTTCACACCCACCTCTGTATACCACATGTGCACACCCAGCTCCATAACCGCCTCATAAGCACACCCACCTCATGTACATACATCCAGCCCTGTAACCCTCCCATATGCACACCTAGCTCTGTACCCTGCCACATGCACACCTACCTCTGTGAACACCCATGGGCATAACCACCTCTGCAGCCCTTGTGTGCACACCCAAATATCTAATCCCCCATGTACACACACGCAGCTCTAGAAACACCACATGTGCACACCCAGCTCCATACCCCAATTTGCACACCCACCTGTGTAGCCCCCATTGCACATCCACCTCTGTAACCTCTCCATATGCACACCCAGCTCTGTACCCCAATGTGCACACCTACCTTTGTAGCCATGTGCACACCCAGCTCTGTAACCCCCCACCATATATACACACACACAGCTTTCTAAACCACCCATGTGCACTCCCAACTCTGTACCCCAATTTGCACACCCACCTCTGCAATCTCCCCATGTGCACACCTAGCTCCTTAACCCCAATTCGCACACCCATCTCTGTACCCCACCATGTGCACACCGAGCTCTGCAACCCCTCCATGTGCACACCTTCCTCTGAACCCTCCCCATGCACACCCAGTTCTCTACCCCACCCACTGCACGCCCAGATCTGTACTCCCCCCTGCTGTTGTCTTACTTTGCCTTGCCCCAGCCCCCTGCCCACCCTGGTGACCTGCGGTCCCTCACCCAGGCACAGCCCGAGAAAGCCCAGCCACCCCATGCTGCTTGCTGCCTGGAGAGAGCACCCCCCTCCAGGCCACCCTTTTAAAGCTCCCATCCCAGCAAGGGGCAGGGCTGGGACAGCCCAGGGCCAAAAGGCTGGGGACAGCTAGGGGGCCCTGGGCTGCTCACGGGGACCAGGATGGAGCCAGGGATGCAAGCAGGACACAATGGCATGCATGCCAGCTGCGGGCAAGCATTGGCCAGCTCCTGTTGGCCCTGGGCCTGGCATTGCCCAGCTCCTGGCCCGCCGTCCCCCCCAATTAAGGGTCAGGCCTGGGGGGCAGTGGAAGGGGGCTGAGACAAGCTGAGGCGCCAGAGCCACCAGGGAGGAAGTGAAAGCCCCCCAGGGAGGAAGGAGGAACTGCTGAGCGAGCTGCATCGGCGCCACAGATCCGGGAAGAGTCCTGCAGGGAGGGCGGTGTTCAGGAAGGGAGTCCTCATACCAGTGGCAGCCTGCCCACTGGGGCTGCAGCCACAGAGCTGAGCAGAGGAGAGCAGAAACGGGTTCCCCCAAACTGCAGGAATGGGACTCAAGGCATCAAAGAGTCCACAAGCAACATTGCCCTGGGGTGTGTCTTGTGCCCTCTCCATGCAACATTTTCCGGGTGGGTCCCCGACATCTCTCTGCACCCGAGACCACTGTGCCATATGAAGGCCACACTCAGCCTTGGGCTGTCCTGAGGGCACCGAGGTCCCAGGGGGCATCTTCTCCTGATAGCCAGATCAGGCATCAAGGACAGCCAGAAAGATGGGACTGCCTAAAACAAGCAATACGCAGCCCAATCCCACACTAAAGCAAGGACCTAGGGAAACAAAACTAAGCAAAGACTCCAGCCATCAAGACAGAGGAAGATGGTAATGAGATAAGAGATGAAGATAAACCCAGGGATGAAGACTGGAACTGGAGCCATCCACCCAAATAAAGAGACAAAGGGCCTTGAGTCAATCCTAGGGACTCCCAGATGTGGGAGAGGACAGGGAGATAAACCATCCCAATGGCTGCGCAAAAGACAAATCCTGCCACAGCCTGGAGACCCAAGAAGGACTTGATACCCTGTATCCCTTCTCCTTCATGCCATCCCGAGTGACTCCCTGGACTCCAGTGATTGACTGCTGGTATGGGAATGGATGCAATCAGGGGCATTTCCCCAGAAAAGCTCCTTCCCCTTCTATGCTGCTGAAACCTTGCTTGCTGCAGCCTCCCCAGGATCAAGGGCTTCAGAGACGCTCCAGAGAACCAGCCCTGTTTTATTTGACTTGCAGCCAGGGTTTTGCATGGGGCCCCAGGTGCCCAGTGCCACCCAGCATCCGCCTGAGCCGCCTGCCCGCGGATTCATGCTCAGGGGCCTGCCCATGGCATTGCCAAGGGGCACCTGGTGATCACGGCCCACGAGCCGGAGGGGGCTCCCGGCGGCATGGGGGAGGCCCTCGGCCCCGTGACCACAGGGCAAGGCCCCCTAGGAGGTGGCGGACAGAGCCTGCCAGCTCTGCCAGGCTGCCAGCGATGGACTATAAGCAGGTCCTGCAGCTCAGGTGTGATGCAGGACACGCAACGCCCAGACCCCACCTGAGCCCTGGCTTGCCCTGCTGCCGGGACCACTGCTGCAGGGAGGGCTGGTGACACGGCTTCCTGTGCCAGCAGAGCCGGACCTGTTGGGTGAGAAACAGAAACCCTTAAAGCACATCCTAGAGACAATTGCCTGCCCCCCCCAAACCACTACCGAGGGACTAAAAGGAGGGCATTACCCCTGGGAGTCCAGACACCTAGGTCCTTTGGGCTACCTCCCAGAGCCCTTCCCTGCTTTGCCCCAGAGCCTGGGCATCCCAGACAGGTGCAGTCTCAAAGCCTAGGGTTTGCAGACAGGATATCCTGCCACCACTGTTCCCCTCAAGCCATACCTGGGTGTGTGGCCCCAGCCACCATAGGGCCTGTCCGAGTGCTGGCAGGATGTGTGCTAAAGGCCTCTGTGGGGCGCTGGACAGGTGCTGGCAGGCTCTGGGAGCTAGGAGCCTCCATGGAGTGCTTGGAGGAAGTAGTTTGTGTGGAGAGGCTTGAGGTCTCCATGGAGTCCTGGGCGGGTGCTGGGGGTCTCTGGGTGCTGAGAGCCTCCATGAGGGGCTGGGTGGGTGCTGTGGGTCTCTGGGTGCTAAGGATCTGTGTAGGGTGCTCAGAGGGAGTAGCAACTTTGTAAAGGGTGGGGGTTTCCATGTGGTGCTGTGTGGGTGTTGGAGGTCTTTGAGTGCAGGGGTCCTTCATGGGGTGCTGGGTGGGTGCTGGGAGTTTCTGCATTCTGGGAGTCTCCATGGGGTGCTTGGAGGGGGCAGCATGTATGTAAGGGCTGGAGGTCACCATGGGATGCTCACTAGGTGCAGGTTCTGTCCAGGTGCTGGGGGTCTCCATGGGGTGTTGTGTGGGTGCTGGGGGGCTCTGGGGCCTGGGGGATGCTGTGGGGTGCTGGATGGGTGCTGTGGGGCTCTGAGTGCTGGGGATCTGGGAGGGTGCTAGGGATCTCTGGGTCCTGGGGGATGCTGTGGGGGCATTGCTGGGTGCTGGGGTTCTCTTGGTGCTGGAGGCTGCTGTGGGGGTCTCTGTGGGCTGCTGGGTAGGCGCTGGCTGTGTCCAAGCACTAGAGACCTCTGCAGCAGGGCTCTGGGAGAGTACAAGCTCTTTCTGGCCACTGGGAGTCCCAGTAGGGGGCAGGGTGGGTGCTGAGGGTTTCCGCGGGGTGCTGAGGGTTCCTGTGGGGTGCTGAGAAAGGGCTGGGGGGCTCTGGGGCCTGGGGGTCCCTGTAGCAGGCTGGGAGGGGTCATGCTGTGTCTGGGTGCTGGGGGTCACCATGGGGTGTTGGGTAGGTGCTGGGGAGCTCTGGATGCTGGGGGTCCTGGAAGGGAGCTGGGTGAATGCCTGGGCTCTTTGGGTGCTGGGGATCCCTGTGGGGTGCTGCATGGGTGCTGAGGGACTTTGGGTGCTGGGGATCCCCGTGAGGGATTGGGTGAACGTCTGAAGTCTTTGGGTACTGGGGGTCCTGATGGGGGGCTGGGTGGATGCCTGGGGTCTTTGAGTACTGGGGATCCCTGTGGGGGACTGGGTGAATGTCTGAGGTCTTTGGGTGCTAGGGGTCCCAGTGGGGTGCTGTGTGGGTGCTAGGAGTCTCTGGGTCCTGGAGATCCTTGTGGGGGGCTGAGTGGGTGCTAGGGGTCTCTGGGTGATGGGAGTCCCTTTGGGGTGCTGGAAGGGGGTGCTGGAGGCTGGGCCCTGGTGGACTGCAAGGGCAAGGGGGTCTGCTGTCATCAGAGTGGGGTGCTGGGGCAGGTGGGCTGAGTGAGGCTCTATGGGGCGAGCAGAGGCCCCAACAGGGCCAAGGTCCAGGTCAGCATCTGGGGAGGGAAGGGACACACAGGTCCATGAGGCCCCTGCATCGTGGCTTCCAGCCCCACCTGAGCCCCCCCTCCCTGAGTGTTGGGTGAAAAGCACCCATGCTTGGCCCAGACTCTGACACAGGAGGCACCCAAAGTTGCAGAGACCACCGAGCTGCACATGGTCAAGCCCCACAGCATAGCAGGGCAACCACATCCACCCAGTCTCCCAACAACTGCTCAGCCCACCCTGATACCCATCTGGCCTCCCGCCATCATCTCTCCCCTCCTGTCTGTCGCTCCCTCTCTCCGTCATCTACTCTTCCTTCACCCATCCTTCTCCTTAAAAGCCTTCCACCCAACACTAGCCTGTCATCAGGCCTACCCCCTTGTAGTCAGTCATCCATCCCTTCCTCCTTCTTGCTGCCTATCATCCATCCTTCCATGCATCCTTCTTTCCCTCTGTTGTCTCATCCTTGCTCTCCATCCACCTGTCCATTCATCTGTTTGTTCATCCCCTCCTCCTTGCTGTCAAGCCATCCATTCCTCCATCCTTCCCTCCTTCTCAGTGTCCACATAGCCATCTCTCCTCACTGTTCTTCTGTAGATCCATCTTTCCAGCCTCCTGGCTATTCATTCGTTCATTCCTCCCTCCATCCATCCCTTCCTCCTCACTGTCCTTCTGTCTATCCATCCATCCTTGTTCCTTGCTGTCCATCCATCCATCCAACTCTCCTCTTCTGTCTCTTTGGTCATCTCTTCATTCATCCTTCCTTCCCTCTTTCTTGCTGCCCCTCCAGCCATCCATCTGATCCTTTTTCCTTGCTATCCAACTCATCCATTCTTCCATCAATCCTTCCTTTCTATCCATCCACCCTTTATCCCTCCCTGCCTTCCTCCACCTCACTCTCCATTCAAACATCCTCCTGCTGTTCATTCTCCTTCTTGTCTAACCATGCATACTCCTTGCTGTCCTTCCATCCACCCCCACATTACTCTCACACTTCATCCATCTTCTTCCTCAAAATTTCTTCCAAGATTTTGCAGCCCTGTTTAGTACCTTCTGGACCCAATACTGCTGCAGGACTTGTGCTCTGCATGGTACCTTCTGGACCCACTTCTGTTGCAGGATATCTGCTCCATTGGGTACCATCTGGACCCAGCTCTGCTGCAGGATGCGTGTTCTGTGTGGTACCATCTGGACCCGTTTCTACTGCAGGACGTGTGCTCTGCATGATATCATCTGAATGCAGTACTACTGAAGGATGTGTGCTCCACATGGTACCATCTTGACGTGGTTCTACTGTAGGATGTGTGCTCTTTGTGATATCATCTGGACCCAGTATTACTGAAAGACGTGTGCTCTGTGTGATATTGTCTGGACCCAGTTCTGCTGCAAAATGTGTGTTCTGCATGGTACCATCGGGACCCAGTTCTGCTGCAGGACGTGTGCTCCACGTGGTACCATCTGGATCCAGTTCTGCTGCAGGATGCATGCTCTGTGTGGTACCATCTAAACCCAATTCTGCTTCAGGGAGTGCGTGCCTCGTGGTACCACCTGGACCCAGTTCTGCTGCAGGACGTGTGCTCCATGTGGTACCCTCTAAACCCAATTCTGCTTCAGGGAGTGCGTGCCTCATGGTACCACCTGGACCCAGTTCTGCTGCAGGACGTGTGCTCCATGTGGTACCATCGGGACCCAGTTCTGCTGCAGGACGTGTGCTCCACGTGGTACCATCTGGATCCAGTTCTGCTGCAGGATGCGTGCTCTGTGTAGTACCATCTAAACCCAATACTGCTTCAGGGAGTGCATGCCTCATGGTACCATCTGGACCCAGTTCTGCTGCAGGACGTGTGCTCTGTGTGGTACCCTCTGGATCCAATACTGCTTCAGGGAGTGCATGCCTCATGGTACCATCTGGACCCAGTTCTGCTGCAGGACGTGTGCTCTGTGTGGTACCCTCTGGATCCAATACTGCTTCAGGGAGTGCATGCCTCATGGTACCATCTGGACCCAGTTCTGCTGCAGGATGTTTGCTCTGTGTGGCATTATCTGGACCTAGTTCTGCTAAGTTCTGGTTACTCCATATAATAGCGCCTACATCCCATTTGGGGAGGGGCTGGATGCCCTCAGTTTCAGCTGGACCTAGTCCTGCTGGGAGCGCCATGGTGTGCGCTGAGCCCTGCCCAGCTCTGGGCCTGGTGCTTGTTGTGGTACCAACCAGATCCCGACCTGCTTTGGATTGGGTGGCACCAGTGGGATCCTGTCCTGATGGGTGCTGGGTGATTAGGATGGCAACTGCCAGATCCTGCCCTGCTTGAGTTTGGGCGGTACCAACAGGATCCTGTCCTGATGGGTGCGAGGTGCTCTTATTTGTACCAACTGGAGCCTTTCCTGCTTTGGGCTTAATGTTCTGGGTGGCATCAATGGGATCCCGTCCTGCTGGGTGCTGGGTGTTCTGGATTGCACCAACTGGATCCTGTCCTGTTTTGGGCTTGGTTCCAATCAAATCCAGTCCTGATGGGCTCCTGGGGGTCTGGATGGCACCTGCTGCATTCTGCCCTGCTTTGGGCCGAGTGATTCGTATGACACCAACTGGATCCCGCCCTGCTTTGGGCCGGGTGATGCGGACGGTTCCTACTGGATCCCGTCCTACCTTGGACCTGTTGGTGCCAGCTGGATCCCATCCTGCTTTGGACCTGATGGAGCCAGCTGGATCCCGTCCTACCTTGGACCTGTTGGTGCCAGCTGGATCCCATCCTGCTTTGGACCTGATGGAGCCAGCTGGATCCCGTCCTGCTTTGGACCTGTTGGTGCCAGCTGGATCCTGTCCTGCTTTGGACCTGTTGGTACCAGCTGGATCCTGTCCTGCTTTGGACCGGGGGGTGCCACCTGGATCCCGTCCTGCCTTGGGCTTGGTGCTCTGGATGATACCAGCTGGATCCTGTTCTGCTTTGAGTCGTGTGATCCTGATTATACTGACTGGGTCCCGCCTGCCTTTTCCCTGGGTGATGCCAACTCGATCCCGTCCTGCAGGGCGCTGGCCGCTCGGGGTGGTACCAGCTGCATCCCGTCCTGCTGGCTGCTGGGTGCACAGGGAGGTGCTGGCTGGATACTGTCCTGCAGGGTGCTGGGTGCTCAGGGTGCTGCTGGTTGGTAGCAGGGTCCCCCGCGCTGACAGCAGGTCCCCTTGCCCTGGGGCAGAGAGAGGACAGCTCAGCCCTTGCCCTGGGCTGCACAGCCCTGAAACCTCTCCATCTAGACCACCTGCACTGAGGGGGCCTCATCCCGGCCCCACACCAGCCCACGGGGCGATGCTCCTACCAGGAGTCCTTCAGCACACAGGGTCCCTGCTTTTCTGCATCCTCACCAGCCCTCAGAGGACTCTTGCAACCTCTCTCCATGCAGGGACCCCCAGACTCTGGGGATGGAGAGCTAGGGGGCACCCAGGGCCAGAGGCTGGGGCAGGGACATTCCTAGAGGACAGGGTCTGCGGCAGACAGGGAGTGCCCCCAAAGCCTGCTCCAGCCCCCCAGGAGTCTCTGCTGGGGTCCCTGCTGAGACAGCACCCAGAGGGTCCCAGGGCTGAGATGGGGGATTGCTTGCTGCCCTGGCCTGGGGCAATCCCACCTTCACACACTGCAGCTGCATCCTCATGGTGGTTGCAGTTGTGCCTGCCCCAGGGCTCTGCCGGGCACCGCCGCAGCGCAGGCTCTGTCCCTGTGCAGTTCACCTCATCCAGCCAGATGGGACCAGTGCCTGGGCCATACCGGGCCCTGCCAGGGCCTTCCAGGGCTGCCCCACACCCCAGCTCCCGGCAGACGACCGTTGCAGCTGCCAGGTTCCAGCCGTCATCACACACAGTTCCCCAGCGCCCAGCGTGCAGCACCTCCACGCGCCCTGCGCAGCGCCCGGGGCCCCCTGCTAGACGGAGCTGGACTAGCCCTGCAAATCAATGCGCATCATGTCACCACCAGGCACGCCACCCTCCAGCTCCCAGCTGCCTTGCATGGGGCAAGGGGCACCACACAGGGGCCTCCAGCTAAGTCCTCCTACCTTTCCGAGCTGTCCCTGCCACAGGCTTGCTGGCCACGGCTGTCTTGGAAGAGCCAGGGACGCGGGCCTGTGTCTTCTTGCGTGGCATAGCTGAGGGTGGGATCCGTGGCAGCTTCATCGGTGGCTGGTGAGGCACTGTGGGCTCTGCAGGCCTTACATCCAGGGACCTCAGCTCATCTGTGTGCATAGGAGACCAGTGTGAACCCTAATCTGCACGTGCTGCATGCACAATGAACACACTGTACCCTGCCTGTGTGCGCCTCCCCATGCCCTGTACACACACCCCGCACCCTGTCCATGCACACACTGCACAAGGCCAGTGTCCCTGTGCACTGAACACACGCTGCACACTAATCTCGCTGCTTGCAGTACAGCTGCACTGCACCCTCCCATCTGCTCTCCCATGCTGTCTACAAATTAGCCACAACAGCTCCATGCCTATGCACTTGCACACATTGTGACCTGTGCACCCACTGCATGGACACTGCCCTTTGCAGTGCCGCACAAGCATTGCATGCATTGCACACAGACTGGGAATGTGCCAGGACGTGTGCACAGGCACTGCGCACCCCCCCATGCACTGTGCACTGCAAGGGGTCTGTGTGTGCGCACACACACCCGCATGGCTCCCAACCCTTTCCCACCCCATCCTCTGCCTCTCTGGAGCAGGTACCTGCACAGACCACTGCCGCATCCTCACGGTGCTGGCAGTCCGTGATGCCCCACGGGGCAGCCAGGCACTGCAGCAAGGCTGACTCGTTTCCTCTGCACCGCACGTTGTCCAGCCAGATGGGGCCAGAGCCCTCACCGAAAAAGGCCGCTCCGGGTGCTGAGAGCGGTGCCCCGCAGCCCAGCTCCCGGCACACCACGGCCGCATCCAGCAGCCCCCACATGTCGTCACACACGGTGCCCCAGAGGCCCTCGTGGAAGACCTCCAGCCGGCCGGCGCAGCGGCCCTCAGCGCCTGTCAGCCGCACCATGGGGCCGCCTGAGAGAGAGGCCGGGATCAGCCCCTGGGGGCATGTGCATTAGGGTGTCCATAGGATGTGTGTCCAGGTAGGTGACAGGGGGTTATTTGGGCAGAGGGACATGCGCAGGTGCAAGGGGGTAGGCAGCAGGAGGTCGTGCAAGCAGGGTGCGTGGTGAGGGGTGCAGGGGGCAGTCCTGGGATGTATGGCAAGGGGGACTACTCACACACACAGCACATTGTACCTGCACACCCCATACACTGCACTTACCATACCTGTGTGCACCATTCTTGTGCAAAATATTATTGCACGCACTGTGCCTGCACACTCTGTACCTGGGTACACTGCATCTGTGCACACCCTACCAGTGCCACACACACCCTGTACCCTGCACTTGCCATACCTGTTCATGCTGGACCCATGCGTGCTGTACCTGTGCACGCGGGACCCTCACACACCACACCTGTGCACACTGTACCTATGCACATGCCATACCTGTGCAGGCCATACCTGTACATGCTGCCCCTGTGCATGCTTTACTTGTGCACACTTTACCTGCAAACACCCTACCTCTTCAGGCTGTACTTGTGCATGCTGTACCCATGCATGCCATAGCTGTGAAGGGTGCCCCTGCACAATTCGTACCTGTGCACACCACGCTGGCGTCCTCCTCATGGTTGCAGTTGCTCTGGCCCCAGGGCTGTGCCTGGCACTGTCCCAGCGCCGTCTCCTCCCCACTGCAGCCCATGTCATCCAGCCAGATGGGCCCAGTGCCAGGGCCAAAGCGAGCACCACGGGGGGCTTCCAGTGCTGTGCCGCAGCCCAGCTCCCGGCACACCACGGCCCCTTCCGGCAGCCCCCAGTCGTCATCACACACGGTGCCCCAGCGCCCCTCGTGCCACACCTCCACGCGCCCTGCACACCGGCTGGGGCCCCCGGCCAGCCGCACCACCATGCCACCTGCAAGGTGCCCCACATGTCACTGGTGCCACCACCATTGCCCCCCACCCTGGCACCAAGGGTGCACAAAGTCCCATGGGGCAGAAGGGCATCCTGGTGGCACATTGGTGTGCAACTCACCAGGTGGTGGGGTGACGAAGCTCCGAGTGGGGATGCCATCAGTGGACACGTGGCCATGCCATGGTGTGGGGGGCAAGGAGGGCTCTGCAGTGCTGACAGGCTGGAAGGGATGAGCTGTGGGGAGAGATGGTGAGTATGGGGGGTTCCCTGACTTGGGACTCCCTGGCTGGAGCTGGCAGCAGGAGGGGTGATGCCGGGTGCCCCCCCCCGTGCTGCCCACCTGAGCATACGGCGCTGGCATCTTCCTCGTGGGCACAGACGTGCTTGCGCCAGCCACGGTGCCGGCACAGCTCGAGGCGCTCCTCGGTGCCCCGGCATCGCAGCCCGTTGAGCCAGATGGGGCCTGAGCCTTCCCCGAACCAGGCGCCCGACGGGGCGGAGAGGGCTGTGCCACAGCCCAGCTCCCGGCACACCACGGCTGCATCCAACAGCTCCCAGTCGTCATCACACACAGTGCCCCAGCGGCCCTCATGCCGTACTTCCACGCGCCCTGCGCACCGGCTGGGGCCCCCCGCCAGCCGCACTGGGGATGGGCCCGCGGCATGCGCTCAGGCACTGGGGTGTACTGGGACCACCGCACCCACTGGGACCCGCTGGGACCTGCTGGGACCATTGCACACACCGGGACCCACTGGGATGCACTGGGACCATTGTGCATGCTCAGACCAGCTGGGACCTGCTGGGAACCCTACCTGCTCTGGGGATCCCTGCACATACTGGGGCTTCAGGGGCCTTGCTGAGACCTGCTAGGATCTCTGCATGCTCTGGGACCCACTGGGATCCTTTGCACATACACTGGGGCGCACTCAGACCTGCTGAGACTGTTGCATACACTGGGGCCCACTGAGATCTGCTGGGACCTGCTGGGATCCTTTGCGCACACCAGGACCCACTGGGAGCCCCTGCACGCCCTGGGACCCACTGGCCTCCACTGGGAGTCTCTGTGCACCCTGGGACCCACTTGGACATGTTAAAATCCTTTGCACATGCTGGGACCCACTGAGATCCTTTGCATATGCTGGGAATGGCTGGAATCCATTGTGAGTCCCTGAACACACTGGGAACCACTGGGAGCCCCTGCAGACACTGGGATCTCCCCCATACTGGGACTAACTGGGACCTGCAGGCCCTAAAACCCCCATCCCACATGCAGTGCTTCTCTACACTGGGACACCCCTCCAGGTACACAGGGACCCCCAGCTCGCGCAGCCTCCCCTGACGGGGTGGCACCCCCATGGTGCCAGTGTCCAGCCCCCCCATCCCCCCAGGAGTACCTGCTCCACGGAGTCCCAAGAGCACCACTGCAGGCAGAACAGAGAGGATGAGCGGAGGGGGCCCAAGCATCCAGGTACCCACCCCCAGGCTCCCAGAGCTGGGGGGTGCCATGTGTCTGCATGTCTCCACTGTGGCGCTGAGCAGGACAGCCCACAGTGCCCAGTATCTTGTGGCCAGTGGCGAATGCCCAGCATGGTCCGCAGAGCCCTTCCCAGTGCCCAGTGCCCTGCACAGCCTGTAGTGCTCCCTGCCCTGCC